TCCTTACCTTTAACACCCAATGGTAAGCTCGACCGACGATCACTACCGGCTCCCGATGAAATGTCTTTTGCTCATCAGCAGTATGAAGCTCCACAGGGTGAAATGGAGGAAAAGCTGGCCGATATCTGGCGTGAACTACTTGATATTGAACACATTAGCCGACATGACAATTTCTTCGCACTGGGAGGCCATTCTCTGTCGATTGTACGGCTTTTGGGGCACTTGAGACAGAATGGATTGGATACTTTAGTACGGGAAGTGTTTGATGCTCCCAATCTGGCTATGTTGGCTGCGACTCTCACTCGTTATCATGCAGTCACTATCCCTCCGAATCTTATTACCACAGACTGCATGGAAATTACTCCAGAAATGTTACCACTTATCACTCTTTCTCAGGCAGAGATCGACGCAATAATTGCACACGTGCCCGGTGGAGTAGCCAATATTCAAGATATTTATGGCTTGGCGCCTTTACAGCATGGTTTGTTGTTTCATCATATAAAAGCCGAGAAGGGCGACCCATATTTGATAGCAAGCCGTATGCAATTTAATGATCAGATGGCACTTGAACGTTATACAACCGCTCTACAACAAGTGATTGAGAGACACGATATTTTGCGCACCGTCTTCATCTGTGAAGGTATCAATGAGCCGGCACAGGTTGTGTTGCGGCAAGTTCCTTCGATACTCACCGAAATTTCATTTGAGCAGTTAAACCACCGCTTCAATTCACATTACTTCCGTTTAGACTTGACAAAGGCACCACTTTTGCGTTTGCTGACAGCACCAACATCTGAGGGGAGCTGGATGGCGGTGCAACTGATGCACCACACAATTATTGATCATTCAACACTAGAGAGACTACATGCAGAAGTTAACGCCCTCATTGACAGAAAGATTGAAAATTTGACAACGCCCACATCATTCCGTAATCTTGTTGCTCACGCTCGACTAGGAAATAGTCGAGAAAAGCATACACGTTTCTTTAGTGAAATGCTCGGCGATATTGTTGAGCCAACCTTGCCATTTGGTCTGAGTGACGTTGCTCTTGACGGAACTGAGATAAGCGAGACATATTTGAAGCTCCCACAGACACTCAATGATCAGCTACGAGAACATGCACGGAATCTGCACGTCAGTATGGCTAGTATATGTCATTTAGCTTGGGCACAAGTGCTAGCTCGAGCTAGCGGTTGTGAATCGGTTGTCTTCGGTACCGTGCTCGTTGGTCGTCTACAGGCTGGAATAGGAAATGACAGTGTCATGGGACCGATGATAAATACGCTCCCAATACGGTTAGATATTAATGAGAAGAGCATCAAGAGCGCAGTGGGAGATGCGCATGCTCGATTGAGTAGTTTGTTGGCACACGAACAAGCAGTGCTTGCGTTCGCACAACGCTGCAGTAGAATTCCAGCCGGCTTACCATTGTTTAGTGCATTGCTGAACTATCGCCATAATCAGACAGCAGAAGAAATAACGACGTATCTTCCGGGAGTCAGGGTTATGGATATTGAGGAGCGAACTAATTACCCGTTAACACTGTCGGTTGAAGATGATGACGATTCACTGGGACTGACGTCTCAAGTGGTTTCACCGATTTCAGCAGCTCAGATCGGTGCATATATGCAACAAACCTTGATATCACTGGCTGATATGCTAACTCACAAGCCACAAAAACCAGTTCGAACACTAACAGTGATTCCATCGGAAGAACGCACATTGCTGTTGCATACTTGGAATGAAACCACGTTTATTTATCCACCTACCCGCTGTCTTCATCAATCATTTGAGGAACAGGTTGAGCACGATGGAAAGGCAATCGCCGTGGAGTGTGATGGGAATACTATAAGTTATACTGAACTTAATGCGCAAGCCAACAAGTTGGCACATTACTTGATCGCAAGAGGTGTGAAACCAGATGATCGAATCGCGCTTTGCACTGAGCGCAGTACAACAATGATTGTAGCAATACTGGGCATTCTGAAATCTGGTGGCGCCTATGTACCACTCGATCCTGCTTACCCAAGTCAACGGCTAAGTAATGTTTTACAGGATGCTGACCCAATATTTTTGTTGTTGGACGCTAATGGCCGGAAAACACTCGGTGATCATCATGTACCAGAAGTTGACTTGGACAAATCGTTGCCTGCCGATTTTTCGATCAATAATCCGGATGCGACTGTACTTGGAATCACTCCAAACCATCTGGCTTATGTGACTTATACCTCGGGCTCAACCGGTGCACCGAAAGGAGTGATGGTTGAACATCACCATGCAGCTCAACTATTCCAATCGGTTTACGATAAATTTGATTTCAATAAAAAAGATAAGTGGTGTTTTTTCCATTCTATTTCTTTTGACGTTTCCGTATGGGAGATATGGGGTGCGCTGTCAAATGGAAGTCAATTGTTGATTGTTCCAAACGATATAGCTCGTTGTATGGACGAATTCTATGATTGGGTCTGTACCAGGGGTGTTACTGTAATAACTCAAACTCCCTCCATTTTTAAAACGCTTCTTCGAGCGAGAAGTATCCGTTCACGTTCCGACCAACTGCGATATGTGATCTTTGGTGGTGAAGAATTAGAACCATCGATTGTAAAACACTGGTATGACAAATACAATAAAGGGAAAACGGTATTGGTCAATATGTACGGCCCGACCGAAACAGTTATGATTGCAACCAGTTGGGTCTGTGGCATCACAATTCCTGAAAATTCGCTGATGCCCATCGGTCGTCCACTTTTTAACAAACGAATTTACCTGCTGGATGCAGAGGGTGAACCAGTGCCATTGGGAGCCGAAGGAGAATTATACATTGGTGGTTCTGGTGTAGCACGAGGCTACCTTAACCGCCCTGAACTTACCGCTGAACGTTTTTTACGCGATCCATTCAGTGACAATCCATTCGCACGCATGTACCGTACCGGTGATCGAGCACGATATCTGCCTGATGGTAATTTGGTCTTTTTGGGACGCACCGATCAGCAAGTAAAAATACGCGGATTTCGGATTGAACCTGGTGAAATTGAAGCCCATCTTGTCAAATATCCTCATGTGCACGAAGCTGTCGTACAATCCTATGGCAATGGATCAGATGCTCGTTTGGTAGCTTATGTAGTGGCCGATGCAGATACAACATTAGCCCAGGATCTACGCACCTATCTCTTGGCCTTGATACCAGATTATATGATACCATCGGCTTATGTGTTTCTTCCATCTATGCCACTCACACCCAATGGCAAGTTGGACCGGCGAGCACTACCGCCTCCAGATGATGAGGCGTTTGCACGTCAACAGTATGAAGCTCCACAGGGTGAAATGGAGGAAGAATTGGCCGATATCTGGCGTGAACTACTTGGCATTGAACGAATTAGTCGACACGACAATTTCTTCGCGCTCGGAGGCCATTCTCTATTAGTCGTACAATTGTTGGCACATTTGCGACAGATTGGACTGGACATCATGATAAGGAATGTGTTTGATGCTCCCACTTTGGCCATGATGGCCTCACATATTTACCGTTATCAGAAAATGATCATCCCGCCCAATTTGATTACCACATGCAGCACAGCGATTACTCCAGAAATGCTACCGCTTATCAATCTTTCTCAAGCAGAGATTGATGCAATTATTGTACAGGTACCTGACGGATTAGCTAATATTCAAGATATTTATGGATTGACGCCTTTGCAGAACGGCATGTTATTTCACCATATTAAAGCTGAACGTGGTGACCCATATTTACTAGTAAGCCGACTCAATTTTATTGACCGAATAACGCTTGAACAATATGCAGATGCCTTGCAACAGATAATTACTAGACATGATATCTTTCGCACAGTCTTCGTCTGGGAAGGTCTCAGTGAACCGGCGCAGGTCGTTCTGCGTCGGGTTCCTCTGCTACTAACCAAAATATCATTAGTGCAGTTAAATCAGAGATTTGATGCACATCACGATCGTTTAGACTTAACACAGGCACCATTATTGCGTTTGCTGGCCGCGCCAACGGCTGAGGAGAGCTGGGTTGCGATACAACTTATGCACCACTTAATAATTGATCATTCATCACTGGAGAGACTATTGGCAGAGGTTCACGCTATTATGGATGGAAAGACTGATAAGTTGACAACGCCGACATCATTCCGTCATCTCGTGGCCCAGGCTCGACTAGGAGTAAGTGAAGCTCAGCACACACGTTTCTTCAGTGAAATGCTCGGTGATATTGACGAGCCAACCTTACCATTTGGTCTGAGTGACGTTGGCTTGGACGGGACTAGAATGAATGAAGCAGAGCTGAAGTTGCCACAAAAACTCAATGAACATTTAAGAGTGCTTGCACGGGAGCTACAAGTCAGTATGGCTAGTATTTGCCATTTGGCCTGGGCACAGGTACTTGCTCGTGCTAGTGGACTTGTGGCGATAGTCTTTGGCACCGTGTTGCTGGGCCGTTTGCAGACCGGCGAGGGCAACAATAATATAATGGGACCGATGATTAACACCCTACCGATTCGGATAGATATTGACGAGAGCAGTGTCGAGACTGCAGTACGCCATACCCATTCACGGTTGAGTGCATTGTTGGCACATGAACATGCACCACTTGTGTTAGCACAACGCTGCAGTAGGTGTACGGCAGGTATGCCACTATTCAGCGCAATACTGAACTATCGCCATAATCAAAAGAGTGGGCCGGTCGCTGCGTCACTTCCTGGAGTAACTTTCGTTGGCGGTACGGGACGAACTAATTACCCATTGACACTGTCGGTTGAAGATGATGGTGATTCGCTGGGTCTGACGGTTCAAGTAACTACACCAATATCAGCAACTCGGATCTGTTTCTATATGCAACACGTTCTGGAATCAATGAAAAACTTACTAAATCTCGAGCCAAAGCAACCAGTTCGAACATTGGCAGTATTGCCACCGGAAGAGCGCAAGATGCTGCTATACAGCTGGAATCAAACCAGAGAAACCTATTTACCTGTCCACTGTCTTCATCAATTATTTGAGACCCATGTGGAACGTGACGATCATGCAATTTCTGTGGAACATAATGGAGTGAGTCTAAGCTATGCTGTACTCAACGCCCAGGCCAACAAATGGGCCCATTACTTGATTGTGCGGGGCATAAAACCAGATGATCGCATCGCACTTTGCGTCGAACGCAACATAACAATGATCGTGGCAATTCTGGGTATTCTAAAAGCTGGTGGCGCTTACGTACCACTTGATCCTGCTTACCCAAGTCAACGGCTTACCAATACTCTTAAGGATGCCTGCCCTAAATTCCTGTTAGCAGATACTACTGGCCGTAAAGCACTCGGAGACCATCAAATACCAGTGGTTGACTTGGACAAACAATTGCCTGTCGATTTACCAGTCGATAATCCCGACACGACAAAGATTGGACTCTCCCCGAACCATCTAGCCTATGTTATTTACACCTCTGGTTCAACAGGAACACCGAAAGGAGTGATGGTTGAACATCAACAAGTCGTGCGACTGTTTGAGGCTGCACAAAAAATGTTCAGTTTCAATAAACAGGACAAGTGGTGTTTATTCCATTCGTTTTCTTTTGACTTTTCCATTTGGGAGATTTGGGGTGCATTATCGAATGGAAGTCAACTGTCAATTGTACCATACGATACAACTCGTTCTACGGATGAATTTTATGATTGGGTCTGTGCCAGTAATATTACTGTCCTAAATCAAACTCCATCGGCATTTAGAATGTTCATGCGAGCAAAAAATATCGATTCGAGATCGAATCTACTACGTTATGTGATCTTCGGTGGCGAAGCGTTAGATCCGTCGATTGCAAAGGACTGGTATGAGAAAAACAATACAAGTCAAACAGTATTGGTCAATATGTATGGCACAACGGAAACAACAATTCATGCTACCTACCAACGACTTGAAGCTTCTGAAAATATATACTCAATTGGACGACCTATCGCAGATCTTTGTGCATATTTGCTTGATGCACACGGTGAGCCAGTACCATTGGGAGCTGAGGGAGAATTGTATATTAGTGGTGCTGGTGTGGCACGTGGCTACTTGAACCGACCTGAACTTACCGTGGAACGTTTTCTATCCGATCCATTCAGTGACAATCCATCGGCACGCATGTACCGTACCGGTGATCGAGCCCGATATCTGCCTGATGGTAATCTAGTGTATTTGGGCCGGACAGATCAACAAGTTAAAATCCGAGGATTCCGAATTGAGCCTCGTGAAATTGAAGTCCATCTAATCAAACATCCGCAGGTGAGTGGGGCTGTTGTACAATCCTATGGCAATGGATCAGACGCTCGTTTGGTAGCTTATGTAGTGACCGATGCAGATACTACATCGTTAGCACAGAATTTACGCACCTATCTATCGACTTTACTGCCTGACTATATGACACCAGTGGCTTATATGTGCTTACCGTCCTTACCTTTAACACCCAATGGTAAGCTCGACCGACGATCACTACC